GCGCGTGGAATTAGGGAGAGGATTTATGGTTTGAGGGGAAGTACCTCAACTTCAAGTTCACAGAGGAAGGGAAAAGAGGCAGCTACTTTGTCCCTAGTTGATGAAGAAGAAGAAGTTGAAGAAGATGACGAGCAATATAATAATGATAGTGGAATACAAGAATTTGACAATCTTGTAGAAGAATAGGATGCTCATTTTGTGCTTTGATTGATGCTACTATTTAGTTTTTACATTGAAGTATTGAACATTTGCTTACAATTACATGTGTTGTCTATGCTATATATATATATATATATATATATATTAAATTTCGTTTCACTTCAAAAAAGCGAGCGCTTCGCTTCTCGCTTTAAGCGAAATGGGATTTGTCGCTTTTTCTCGCTTCACGCTCTTCACAACACTGCTTGTGAGGATAGAGAGGTTGTTTCCAATAAACCCTCGGCTCAGAAAAGCATAAACCCACATTAATGGAAATATAGACAAGAAAGGACAGTACCAAAAAGCCATATAAAAGCAGAATAAAAATAACAAGATAGTAAGACTACTTACTCTACTACCCTAATTCTAGACCTCCATACCTTCCTATCAAGGGTCATGTCCTCGGTCAGCTGAAGTTGCGCCATGTCTTGCCTAATCACCTCTCCCCACCTCTTCTTTGGCCTACCTCTACCTCTCTGTAGGCCCTCCAATGTCAACCTCTCACACCTCCTCACCAGGGCGTCTGTGCTCCTCCTCCTCACATGACCAAACCACCTAAGCCGCGTTTCCCGCATCTTGTCCTCCATAGGGGCCACACCCACTTTGTCGCGAATAACCTCATTTCTGATTCTATCTAACTTGGTATGCCCGCACATCCATCTCAACATCCTCATCTCTGCTACCTTCATCTTCTGGACATGAGCGATCTTAACTGGCCAACACTCAGCCCTGTACAACATCGTTGGTTTGACCACAACTCTGTAGAACTTGCCTTTAAGTTTTGGTGGCACCTTCTTGTCACACAAAACACCGAAAGCGAGTCTCCATTTCATCCATCCCGCCCCAATACGATGTGTGACATCTTCATCAATCTCCCCATCCCCTGAATAATAGACCCAAGGTACTTAAAACTTCCTCTCCTAGGGATGACCTGCGAGTCCAGCCTCACCTCCCCTTCCCCTCCTTGAGTCTCGCCACTGAACTTACACTACAAGTATTCTGTCTTGGTCCTGCTCAACTTGAAACCTTTAGACTCCAAGGCCTGCCTCCATACCTCTAATCGCGCGTTCACACCATCTCGCGTCTCGTCAATCAATAAAATATCATCTGCAAATAGCATGCACCACGGCACCTCCCCTTGGATGTGGCGCGCGTCAGTACGTCCATCGCCAGAGTAAACAAAAAAGGGCCGAGTGCCAACCCCTGATGCAACCCCATCATAACCGAAAAATGGTCCGAGTCCCCGCCCACCGTCCTCACTCGGGTCTTTGCTCCATCATACATGTCCTTAATCAACCTAACGTAGGCAACAGGTACACTTCTAGCCTCCAAACATCTCCACAAAACCTCCATCAGAACTTTATTGTACGCCTTTTCTAAGTCGATGAACACCATATGCAAGTCCTTTCTCTCCCTATACTGCTCCATCAATCTCCTAACAAGGTGGATGGCTTCTGTAGTCGAACGTCCCGGCATAAACCCGAACTGGTTCTCAGAAATAGACACTCCTCCTCACCCTTAGCTCTACCACTCTCTCCCAGACTTTCATAGTATGGCTAAGCAGCTTGATACCCCGATAGTTATTGCAATTTTGGATATCACCCTTGTTCTTATATACAAGAACCATTGTGCTCCACCTCCACTCTTCGGGCATCTTCTTCGTTCTAAAAATGACATTAAATAACCTAGTGAGCCACTCCAGGCATTCCTTGCCCGCACTCTTCCAAAAATCCACCGGGATTTCATCCGGCCCGGTCGCTTTGCCCATGCTCATCTTACGCATAGCCCCTTTAACTTCATCAACTCTAATCCGCCTACAATACCCAAAGTCACAACGACTCCCGGAGAGTTCCAAATCACCCAGTACAATGCTCAAGTCCCCCTCCTCGTTCAAGAGACTATGGAAGTAGGTCTGCCATCTCCGACTGATAAGCCCCCCATCCAACAAAACTCTACCTTCTTCGTCCTTGATGCACTTCACTTGGTCCTAGTCACGCGCCTTCCTTTCTCGCGCCTTGGCTAACCTGAACAACCTCTTATCCCCACCTCGGCCCTCGAGTTCCTCATACAAACGACTAAAAGCTGCAGTCTTGGTCGCCGTAACTGCTAGCTTTGCCTCTTTCTTAGCCAACTTATAATGCTCCCTATTCGCCCTCTTCTCCTCCTCGTTTATACTTTCCACTTGCTTCAGATACGCTGCTTTTTTGGTTTCCACTTTTCCTTGCACCTCTCCATTCCACCATCAGTCTCCCTAGTAACCACCAGAGTAACCCTTTGAGACTCCTAATGTCTCTCTCGCGGCTTCCCTAATGCAATGCGCAGTCGTGGTCCACATAGCGTTTACGTCCCCACTACTCCTCCAAGCCCCCATAGTCAATAGCTTGACCCCCAACTCCTGCGATTTAGCTTCCGTCAAGGCTCCCCACTTGATCCTATGTTGTCTATGCATCGCCCTCTTCCTCCTCTTCCTCGTTATCCCAAGGTCCATGACCAGGAGCCTATGAAGGGTCGAGAGGGTCTCACTCGGGATGACCTTGCAATCCGTGCAAAGACCTCTATCAGACTTCCTGCAGAGTAAATAATCAATCTGAGTCTCGGCCACCGAACTCCGAAAGGTGACCAAGTGCTCCCTCTTCTTCGGGAAACTCGAGTTTGCTATCACTAAATCAAATGCTCTAGCAAAGTCCAGCAGAGACGCTCTTCTTCCGTTTCTATCTCCAAAACCAAAGTCACCATGCACATCATCATACCTCCCAGACGTCGCTCCAATGTGACCGTTGAAATCTCCTCCTATGAAAAGCTTCTCGGTATGCGGGATACCACGCACCATCTCATCCAAATCCTCCCTGAAACGCCTCTTGACTTCCTCATCCAAGCTTGCTTGGGGTGCGTACGCACTGATTATGTTCAAAGTAAAACCTCCAACAACTAGCTTAATAGTCATCAGCCTGTCATTCACCCTCCTAACCTCCACCACTAGTTCACGGAGGTCCTTATCAACCAAGATACCTACCCCGTTCCTGCCCCCCACCCTCCCAGAATACCATAGTTTGAACCTGTCCACATCCTTAATGCTGCCAGAAAGTGTGAAATATTGTAACATGAAAAAATATGAAAATGGCACATCTACCATTGAATAATACTAGTAAGTAATAAGCTTTTCAAAAACCCAGATGAATGTATTTTTTTGAAAAAACCTAGATGAATGTATTTAAGCAACTGACCTGATCTAAAACAAACATATAGTAAAGAGAAATTGTGGCACAAAGACACTACTAAAACAGTACAGATCAACCATGTTGCAGAAATATCACCAACTTATTGTTTCACAAGCACTTTGTTGAAATCCATAATCAAGTGTAAATGGCTTAGTTTGAAGCACAAATATAACAAGTGGAAATGGTGAGGTTTGAAGCACAAATGTAGCAATTCACGAAGAGCGTCTCAGAGAGTATCAACCAAAAGAACTAAAGAATCTCACCCTTTGTGCTTTAGTGTAATATTGTTTTCTATTATCACTAGCAGGAACAATCTTCTCCCCGACTGCCTTTCTAATTGACGCAGAAAGCAACCGAATTAGGTTTGTCGCATCTACATCACTTAGTTCAGCTGATGGCTCTTCTTCCAAGAGCATAGACAGGATACACTTCCAATCCTGCAGGGACATAATTTTCAAGTAAATACTTTCCTCTTCAACCACAGGGTCCCCCAGGGATCCAGGATAGGTAGGAGACCCTTCTCAAGTTATCGTATGATAACTAGGATAATAGTTGTCTGATCAATGGAAATAGAAAATGCAATTTAAGGCAAGTTGTAGGAAATAGTAGTCTGACCAAACTACAGATATTTTATTACAGCAATAATACTAAACATCATAGGGAATACTGGTCAATTCCAGATATCATACAGTAATTTATAGTGTCTATAAAACTAAGTTGAGCCACTAGATTCTAGAAGTCTAGGTATAGAAGAAGATGTAGGCTCATTGAAATTTGTAGGGAAATACTACTCTGACCAAACTACAGATATCATATGGATCTTGATAGTAATACGTTCAGATAACATTAAGCCTTAGATCAAAAGATAGTGTACATAGCGTACTTTCATGGCATCCATATACTCCCAGATATCATCAATGACATACATACTCAGCATTTCGTCTTTTGAGAACTCTCTCAATATGCGCAGCAGTCTACTCAGATGAACCTCAGAAGAATCAGTATTATCCCCTGACAACTTTTTGTTATCAGTACAATTGTATTCATCAAGCAAATAGAAAGCACATGATGCAGACAGGGTGATAAAAACCTGAACTAGATTGTGAACTGTTCAATCGCTGGGCAATCAGGTTATCATACACTAGTGCTCCGATGGCACGCCTGATTTCTGGTGGATCATCAATTAGCAAATCATATAATGAACTTAATTCTTCCTCGGGAACAAGTTGATGTCTGCAAAATATGGAATAGCTTGATAGTAAAGCACAACTAACAACAATCTGCTGGTAACAATACTAAAAAGCAAAATCTTTCCCCAAAGTTTAGAATTAACATTACCTTATCAGTTGTTTCACAAGTCCTATAGCACATACTGCCACGGAAATATCAACATCATCAGCAAGCTCGATCATTCTTTTATAAAACCTCTCCGTGAAAAGGCCAAGAGATGGAACATTATCATCCTCCTCATAAAGATTTTGCAGTGCAAGGACTGAAGCCTTCCTTACACCATGACTCTTCAGAGGGGAATAATTAAGAGCCAAATGCATAGTTAGAATTTTCAAGTTTATCAAAAGAGGATTGAAGATAAAATCAAACTGGATATCCACTTACTTTATCATTCAATGTCCATCCAAGATATTTCAAATACAAATCCTGCAAAAACAGGGAGGGGTATGACAGGATCCAAACACCCAATGACTGTATGCATGCCATTCTGATATCCGGTTCGACGTCTCGATAACGGTGCATAAATAGCCTACAAATTCAACATACAAAAAGGCAAAACAAAATCGAAATTGCCCCTCAAGTGATCAAAAAAATATGTATCATTAACATAAGGTCCATACCCAGTAAATATCTTCCGCATCATCTCCTCTATTATTGTTATCTTTTCATGGGTCAAGGATAATCTTTTATTTAGTGATTCAACTCGAGGCCCATCCACTTTCTTCTTCTTTTCAGCATTTAGCTGCCTCTGAGTGGTTCCGCGCTGCGCACCAAGAACTTTGGCGACGTGTATAAAGGATGTAACAAGTTGTAGCCCCATTAATGAAGCAACCTGACGATATACTCTAGGAGGGGTGCTGAAATGCACATCACAAGACAATCAGCCAAAATAGTCTATCTTAAATTTCGAACACCTGAATACAAACTACTTACCATGATAGTGCAATCACATAGTCCATGCACTTGTCAAACAAGACCTTATCAAAAAGTGGTCCATTTTCACATTCAGCAACCAAAGTATCCCAGAAGTAGACAAGGTTATCTTTGAAGTTATTGAAGTCCTTCTTTTTTGAACTTTGATAATCTTCAACTTCACCCTAAGGTCCAAAGAAGATCAGGTAAAATAACAACTACATGTCTATGCATGAATTTCAAGTGTTTCATGCATATTGAACTGACACCAAATAATAACACCGACCAGAAAGTTCATGTTTAATGCACATAATGAACTGACACAAATAATCTTTACCAACCAGAAAGTTCATGTTTAATGCATATTGAACTGACACCAAAAAATAATACTGACCAGACATATTAAGTAAGGAAATATCATGAATATGATGGATGAACATACCCTCTTAGCCATGTTTACAAGAGCAACTACTACATCATCAACATCAGTTTGGTCCAAGAAATCTTCTTCAATATGATATTTTGCTCCACATGCCTGCAAAACCACAAATCTCCACCTATCACGTCACATCATCAAAATGGAACCTATTTATGGCTGATACGCGGAGACAGGAAAAACAATAGTATGCAAGCCATAGAAACATCCACATATTATCAGAGTACCTCAAACATCATGCTCAAGAGTACAGCCATTGCGGCTTTCGGGTTCTTCTCATAGTGTTCCACCCAATGCTTGACCACTAGAGGAATTTGTCTCCTATCACCTTTGACAACATCTGCAAATAAAGGAGTGAACGCCCTATCATCAAAGTGTACAAACCACCACAATAGTATAATAAAAAGGAGTCAACAGAGAGAAGATAAAATCTAATAAGAATCAGATAACGAGGAATTGAAACAAGCAAGCAAGCACAAAAAAACTGACTACTAAATCTTCCAATGGTTTCATTCCATGAATAGGAAGTATGTCACATACAAAGAACAGGACTAGCTGAAGTGGCCATTTTTGGGACTGGAAAAGAATAGTTGAAGTGACTTTTCAAAGAGGAACGAGTATTTCTTATGGGATAATAACAGAAGGCCTTTGATTATGGTTTTGGCAACTTCAAAATGCTCCCATAGGATTCATAATACTATACAAACTGCCCTTTTCTGAGGTCATATACTTGAGAAGTCACTGGTTGAATAGAAACATCAAATGGAGCAGGGCAAGCTAGCTGTGCTTTGACCAATCCACTTTATTGGTCCACTTTTACTTTAAAGAATCTGGAGCAGAATGAAAAATCATCAGGAAGTAAAGGAATGAACATAAAGGATCAAACAAGACTCCTCTTGTCGACATCCTCCATTGCTTCCCAGGACATCTGCTTCAAACTAAACATCTAGATGATAAAGGTGAAAGTGCAAAAACACCACGCATTTGGGAGGAAAACTTAACGAGTACAAAAATGTTTTCCAAAATTTCATAAAAAGGAGATATAAAGATAAAAATAGAAATACTTAATGCATCTTCTTCACCAACTGAAATACCCATAATGATGAGTGTTTACATTTGTCCAACATTTCGTGGATGAAATACGCATTTCATTCTATAGGTGGAAACGAAATGCAATAGTAATCCAAATTCTACCACTTGCTATTGTAAATTACAGAATTTTCAGAAAATTAAAGGACCATTACTTCCACTAGCAATTCAAAGCTTTTACATACTCTCAAAGTCTTCTTAATTCAACATTAACCTAAAATCACCATAATAAAAATGACAGCACAGTTGTCAAACTCAAAGAAATAACTTAACTCACACTTTCAACTATAATTGAGTAACAAACACCTATAATTTCCATAAAATCTCAAAATACCAAATTTGCCATAATGAAAACTACATAAAATTGGTGAATAAAAAAAACTACATAACATTAGTCAAACTGTCTAATCACAACCTCCATTCAAGTTCTCAGTCAATCGAGTAGCGAAAGCCTAAAACTTCTCTGGTATCAAACTTCAAAATCAACCAGAAATTACCTTAATGAAAGCAACACAACATTAGTCAAACTAAAAGACAAACTTCCATATCCACTTTCAACATAATGGACTAGCTTAAGCCTAAAATTTCTCTAGTCCCAAAATCACAATAAACCTGAATTTAAAAGAACGGTACATAACATTAGACAAACTAGAAGACCATAACCTCCATTCATGCTTTCAACATAATCGAGTAGCACAAGCCTAAATCTTCTCTACTCTCAAAATCCAAAAATCAAACTGAACTTGCCTTGATAAAACTAACAGGACAGTGTACAAATAGAAACCATAATTCCACTCACACTTTCAACAATAATTGAGTAAACCAAGCCTAAAAATTCTATATATCCTCAAATTACCATGGTAAGAACTACGGAACATTAGTTAAAACTAGAAGATCACAACTTCATTCACACTCTCAACATGATAAAATTTCAGAACGGTATGCAAACTAGAAGGCTATAACTTCCACGGCGCCTTATTTTCTATAGATCCTCAAATTCAAAAAATAACATCAAAACTATAGTAGAAAACAACTACACCACAGTAAGTAGTCAAAATTTGTAGTACCAATTAAACTGAGATGAGCATTTCCAGAAGCAGCAGCTGAAGTGCCTCCAACAGCCTTACTCCGCTTAGCTCTACCGCGAGATTCTTCAAAATCGTCGGACGATTCTTCTCTCTCTTCCTCATTCACATTTTTCTCCTCGTTAACCCTAGTTTGAACTCTCGTTCGTTTCTGTACACGATAAACTCCATAATTAGGGCTCAAGTTTTTACTTACTCAAATGAATATGCATAAATATTGTAGAAACTGGAAGAAGAAAAAAAACTCACCGTACGGCGATTCGCCGTTCCCGACACCACTGGTTCCTCCTCCATGAACTGCTGGTACTGTTAAACCCTAGAAAGAAGAAACCGAATCAAAAAAGCGTGAATGCTACAGAAGGAGATATTAAATTAGAAAATTCGGTGACAAATGCACAGAATTGTGGAATAGTAGAGCGTAATGCATAAACTTCTGTGGCCTTTTTGCCGGTAGAGAATACTAAATTTAAATAATAAAAAAAAAACCTATTATAAAAACAATTGATTATATTTTTTATAAATAATTTTAAATATTTTAAATTGTTAATTATTATAACCTATATTACTCTTTATATAATAATTTTTAAATAATTAAATTTTATTTCAAAAAACGTAAAGAATATAGATTCAAATTTACTTAAATAATTAGTCAACTTAACACTCATACTTAAAAAAAAAA